ATTAGTCCCCTTTAGGGTCCCTTGGCCACAGGCAGAGGCTCCTGACCCCCTTGCATTTGTTTGATCCCAGCTGGAAGAAACAGAATTCAGGGACAGCGGGGAGGTGGGGTGGGAGGAGGAGAGGCTAGGAAAGAGGAGGCAATCGCTGGCTGCTCCAGCTCCCCAGGGAATTTCTAATGGATCCACAAGATGCAGAGAGGTACAGCTACCAAAGAGATGGTCTGGCTCCGAGCACTGGGTAGGAAGAGATGGGAAGGAAGTAGAGAGATGACAGCCTCGAGCAGCACATGCCCTGATTGGGAACAGGAAGAGAGCCCAGTTTCTGGTTTAAAATTCAAACACTCTGTTTTGCATCATTCCTTAATCACTTTAGCTCTGTGAGTCTTATTTCCCTAAGTAAACAGCAAGTCTCCCTTTAGCTGGGACCACAGTTGACATGCTTTCTGCTTCCTGTACAGTGCTCAGCCCAGAGGTCACAAGCTGCTGGTCCTTGGCATAGGTGTACAGGGGTTTTGGCCTTCAGAGGCCATGCTGGACCTCCATAGTCCTTACCCTTTTCTGGAAAGAGCACTTCAGTTTCTTTTGGGGGACCATCCCTCTCTGACTATGACCATTAGGTTAGGAGGGAGCTGACTCACTTTTCTTCCACTCTTTTCATGCCAGGAGTGAGCTCTTGATCTAGGCTGGCTAATCAGAGCCACAGAGGTTGGTGAATGGATGGGCATTTGACCCAGTTTGGGCCAATTGAGATTCAAGCCTGGAGTTGTGCTGGAATTGGGAAGTAGGTGTCCTTTTTAAATTGGGATTGCTGAGAGGGAGTTACCACATGGAGATAGTCAGCTGAGGGATGCAGAAAACCCAATCCCTGAGAACACTGCTTGAGCTCCTGGATCGAGCCTGACCTGAATGAATCTCATTAATAATGAGCTCCACATGGCAGCAGCACAAAGAGAAAAGCACAAAGAGAAAAGCACAAAGAGAAAGAGCTGTGGGCTAAAAGTCAAGGCCATCTATTTTAGTTTTGTTATGAATACTTTGACTACATGGCCTCCCTATCTCTCAGTTACTCTGTCTGAAAAATGGGGCTCCTGCTCTCTGGATCCTACACTTCTCTGACGTCCAAGTTTACAGTGATAGCCCAGACTTCTCTTTGGAGTTCCAGACACACAAATAGGATTCTAGATTCTTTTCCTCAACAGTCTTCTCTTTCATTGTTCTTCCCATATCACATGGTATTTGTGCTAGAAAATGCTGGCTGCTCTGCAATATCCATTCTTCCCTTCTCCCTTTTCAAATAATAGAAGCGCTACATTTTAATGGAAGACATGACTAGACCAGGTTTCCCAGACTCCCTTCCAGCTAGATGCAGCTATATGATCAAATTCCAGCCAATGGCATGTGAGTAGAAATCACATGTGCAACCAACCTCTGGGTCTGGCCTTTAAAAGAGAGAGAAAAAATAAAAATAAAATTAAAAAGAGAGGAGTAAATTCCTCTTTTCCTGTTCCCCCTTCTCCCTGGCTAGCATGCACACATGGGGATAAGCTGTGTCTTATCTTGCCAATGAGGGCAATGCTTCAGGGCTGGCAGAGAACAAGACGGAAGGGGCCTCGGTCCCTGGCTCTGGGTAAGCAGCCTTAGCACCTTGAACTGCTTGGCTGCTAGGTGACAGAGAAACTACCTTATTTAAGCCATGAATATTCTGGGTCTCTTTTAGGGTGGCTGACTTTAGCAAATAAAAAGATGCTTATTCCTCACTGAAGAGAGAGCTGGAGAAGAGAGTGGAAAATTCTAGAAGAGGAATGAAGATAGCACAGGAGACCTGGGGGCTCCAAGAGCTTCCCACCTGTTTTCCCTGGACATCCTGGGAGCATGACTCTCATTCTCCTTTGGGTGATTTTAGTCTCTCTGGGCCTCAGTTTCTCCTTAAATACTATGGAGACTAATTGGACATGAGAGTCCCAGGTCCTTCCAGCTCTGAGCTTCTGTGGTTCTGAAATTCTAGGATGGATGTTGAAACTCAGAGGCCAGTGGGGCCAGGAGGGTCCTGTAAGTGGGTTAACAGGCCAGGTGGGGGCTGTGGTTGGGCTGGAGAGCATACTCCCCTACCCCACTGCCCCACTATGAGGGTGGTTGCTACTCAGCTCCTGCTGATTGCTGCCCCATGGGAATGCAGGATGGCCAGATTTTCTAATTTTTCAAGAAGAGTTGGAAATCTAGATGTTTTGGTCTGTGCAATCTCCTGATTTTTAAATGTTGGCGACAAAGTCACATTTTTTCCAACACTCTTGGGGCCAAAGGGAAATGTCTGCTAGTGAATCTGGCTGGTGGCCACCACTTAGGAATTTTTTGTTTTGATGCTATTTTCTTTCCTTTGCTTCCTTCCTTTATTGAACAAATATTTATTTGACACCTACTAAGTGAGGGGCACTATTCTATACACTGGGATGAAGCAGCGAACAAAACAGAACAAAAGGTGCCTGCCTTCATGCAGCTTTTGTTCTAGAGGCTTGTTTCGATTTGTTCATGCAACAAATACTTATTGGGCAATTCTGGCCCACGCTCTGTGCTTGATGGGGTAGTTAAGAAAATGTCCCTTGTCCCTACACTTATGGTACAATAGCCTAGAAAGGAGACAGACAGTAAGTGCATAATAGTATGAATGAGAAACACACTTATGGGGACGGATGCAATTTAGATGGAAAGGAATGGTTAGCAAAGTCCTTTTGAAAGAGGCTACACTTAAAGTGAAAACTGAAAGATAAGATTTAATCTAGTAAAATAACATTCTCGAACATTCTAGATCACACCAGAGGTTTCCAGTATGTCCCTTCCTCATTTGCCCTCAGAGGTCACCATCCCTATACATGCAGAAACTTTCTTCTGTTATCACCACAATTTCCTGTCCTAGAGCTTTCTTGGGGCAGGCCAGAGTGCAGGGAGATAACACCCTTAGGAGAAGCCGCCCACCCATGATGGGAGGGAATTTGTAGATAAATATCCAAGCACCCTCACCCCTTGGGTGGATTAACTCTGAGGTGTGTTCTACAGGGTCTCCCTGGGGTCCCTGCTGGGGTGGAGACCCAGTTACCTACAGCAGTAACTAGTTAGGCACTCTGCATTGGCCGCCTTCCCTTCCCTGTCTCACTTCCCCACCCTGGACCCAGTGCTTTCTGGGATCATCTCCCTGCAGAGAAACTATTCACGCTCACTCCTTGTCTCAGGCTCTGCTTCTGGGAGAAACCCAGCAGAAATGGGAAATACTGTGGCAGGTTTGAGGACAGAAAGCAGCTCAGGATAAGTAGTAGGACATGGGGCTGGAGAGTGGGGCAGGAGCCAGCTCATGGACGGTCTTAGAGGCTGGGGTTAGGGTTTGTCAACAGGAAGCCACTGACAATTTTTTGGTAGGGGAGTGATACGACCTGGCTCGTCTTGTAGGATGACCGCTCTGTGGCGAGCTGTGAAGAGCAGAAGTGAAAGCTGGGAGGCCAGGTAGCTCGAGGTGAAGGTGGCTGGGATTAGGCGGCAAGGGTGGAGAGAGGTGGCCAGCAATGAGGAATGACATGGACCAGGTGGCATGGGGCTCAGAAAGGAGCTCTGGGCTTTGTACTTGTCTTGGGGGGACAAACCCACAATATGGTTTAAGGAGTGGCCCTTAAGACACTGAGGCACAGACACAAAAAGCACCCCCAAGATTACAAAACCCTATGCAATCTGTGAGAGCCCGGCTGCCGCACAGAGCCGCAGAGCCTCAGAAGGGCAGGAGGAGTGAAGGAATGCTTTCAGGGTGGGTGACTTTACTGAGGTGGTTAGAAAAAACACAGAACACCTACATCTACTGGGTCACTCCCTACTGCAGCCCCTTTGGGGCAGCCCAACCTTTTGCAGTGGCTGCCAAATCCACACTGGTGTTTTCAGCAGTTCCCAACTCTGCCATCCTTTACCTAAGCTGTGCACAGTCCAAAAACGCATGCCGGATTTCCCTCAGGCACTGCTGGACGTATTAACGGCATTTCTACGTGGCAAGAGATTTCTGCACCGCCAACACCATTTTTATATTCTTTACAACATAACGGCAGATGATAAATCTATCTTGCTAATTACACATCCAGCTTGTTATAACCCCCATAAAAAACACGAGCAGCTGGAAAAGCCACGAGGTGATGTCAAATCATAGTCCTGGTCTCTAAACAGAAACAGAAATATTTTCCAGGCACTGGTGAGTCTCACGGTTCTTACCCATGCGTGGAGGCAGCTGCCAACAGGTCGCTCACCCCGGATGAGACGGTAACTTGCCTATTCTTAAAGCTCTGCCCTCCCGGCCCCCTGGTCTCCCCGAGGAGGTGGTCTCCGCAGGTGGTTGGGTGGAAAGCCCACAAAGTGAACGCAAAGAGGCAGCAGGGTTTGTCCTTTGGCAACTGGGTCCACTTTTGCATTATTAAGGTGGTTTCAGTGTGTCTTCTATTCACCACCAATCAGTCCATAGCATTTGCCCTGAATTCTACTTGATGGTTTCCCAACATAATTTTTTGAATGATACATTTGCAAAGCTGTTGCTCAGATCCACGCTGGACCTGACAAAATGCTTCCCCCTTGTCTCAGAAAAACGGAAGGAAAATTAAATTCATCTGCCAGAGACACTAAGATAAACAAGAGGGAAGAAGAAAAATACCTCTTTTTTAGCTAAGATTACTGGTTTTGGCTGCAGCACATCCTAGCCCTCTTAGGAGGGAGACAGCTGAAGACAATGAGCTTATATCCTACCAAGCAAACACTTCGTGTGTTGTAAGAAAAGGCATGGGAGACAATACAAGAGGAAGCTAATTAATTTTTCACATGTCAGGGGAAAATTCCATAGGCTTCCTCAAACCCAGGCTGACTCGAAGGGGCAGCTTTTGTTGGGGAAGTTGCCTCATAAGCTGCCCCCACAATTCCCAGGACAAACCAGCCGGACAGGCTGTCTTGTTGAAAAAAAAGAGAGAGACAAAATGGATTCTTACCTTCCCGTATCTGGATGCAAAAGTCCCCGTGAGTAAGGAGTGAAAAATAATTATTGTCTCATCCAAGTCCCACACGAACACACGCTGTGATGAAAGAGAGGAAGAGAATGGAGACAAATGGACTCGCTTGCATCTGACTTAACGTCTGCAGAAATTAATTCCCTGGGAGGAGAAGGGAGTCTTGAAAAACATTATCTTTAAGTTATAAAACATGTGACTCCCTGATGTGTCACTGAGTCCCCGGCCAACCTCAGCTGTGTAAAGTGTATTCTGATGGCCACTTTTTGGTCTCCTATCAACCCCTAGATGCCAGAACCGAGCAGTCTGTTTTTTGCCTTCCACATAAAAGCTCAGAAAAGAAGGAGTTCAGTCCAAAAACAATAATAAAAATCATAAAAACTCATTTGACAAAGTGAAATACTACCATTTTACATCACTGATCACCATAAGACCAACTAGTACCAAACATTTCTGTTTTTAGCAATTCTGGTGATCACCTCCTTAATGCTAAAACACTTACTGCACCTTTACTTATTGATTTGCCAACTTTAGACATTATCTTTTGACGGGGCAATGTGAAAGGAGGGTGTAGCTCATGGCAATCTCCCTCATTTCTCCAGAACTTCATATTTTCACATGTGTGAGCCCCTCTATTTCCAGTTCCATCGGTTTTAGGCATTCTCCCTCAGNCTTTGTATCCAAATAACTATCATTTACATAAGACCTTACACTGTCCTCTGTGCTTTCATCGTTATGATGTCATCTAGGATATCTGTCCCAGGCTACTGGGACAATGCAGGAAGATATAAGCAGAGACTCTGAAGACCAATTCAGAAAGGTCAAATCACTGAGGTTTAGGCTATGCATATTAAACAGAAAAGGAAGTTATAAATTAGGACTTGATGAAGAGAATGGTGATTAGGAACTGGTAGAGGAAAACTGGAAGTGAGAATGATTACATATGATGAACAAGGCAGACAGACGTGACAGAATATGGTGTGGTTGCTCCAAAACGAACCTCCTGGGTGTTGGATGCTAGCAACCCACCCCTGTTAACTCTCAGCGTACCAGGTCAACCCCTCAGTAGGCCTGGTATCACGCTACGTGAGGTAGGTAAGTTCTATTATTTCCCCCTGAATCAGTCTCCTATGGCTGCCTTAATAAATTGTCACAAACTGGGGAGCCCAAAACAATACAAATTTAATCTCTCACAGTTACGGAGACTAGAACTCTGAAACTGAGATGTCAGCTGGACCATGTTCCCTCCAAAAGCTCTAGGGAAGAATCCTCCTGAGCTCTTTTAGATTCTCATGGTTACTGGAAATGCTTGGCATTCATGAGCTTGTAAATGCATCATTTCAACATCTCTCTCCACTTCACACATCCTTTTCCCCTGTATGTCTGTGCCCAGATTTCCCCCATCTTACAAAGATACCTGTTCTTGAATGAAGGTCCAGTCCACTCCAGTATGACCTCATCTTGACTTGATACTATCACACAAACCTTATCAATAAGGTCACATCTACAGGTTCTGGAAAGATATGAATTTTGAGGAAACACTATTGAACCCAGTACACCCCTTTTTAGAGATGTGAAACCTGATGCCCAGATAGACTAAGCAATTTTCCCAGATCATTCAGAGGACAAACTGGAATTTAAGACCAGGTCTTCTGACTATAATTTGGGGCTGTTTATACTGTACCACTAAGGATGAAAGTTTTCTGGTATTACTTGATTCTCCATCTAAAGCCTGTTTTAAAGAAAAAAAGGCAGCATGAATATTATCTATATTTTCACTAGGAACACAAATGACTTCCTTGAACTTCCTGCCCCTTCTATATGTTCCCATAGCAACCTGTTATAAGTCTTTCAGAGGGGTTATCACTTTATTGGATTTGTCCAGTTATTTATCTGTTTCTACTAAAAGTCGAGAAAAATAGCACTGGTAGTGGCACTGGGGAAGGGAGGGTTAGAAGCAAAACATGGATTTGAATCCATTCTCAGCTACCCTGACCTCTCTTACAGTATCTCCTCAAAGAATCCAACATCTCCGCTTGCTCAGGGCCACCTGTCCATTGGTATCATCATACACAGTGCCTGTGATTGATGAATTTTGTAAAGACCAAAAGGATGCTTAACACCTGGAAAAGTAGTAACAACTACAAAATAATAAAAGAACATTGCAAAACAAAAAGCATTAAATATTTTAATTAAACTGTGATGAAATATAACACATTAATGAAATAACTGCAACAATTGTTGCACAAATAAATATGCAAATTACAATTGACTGGAGACTCTGATGCATTTAAATTTATTTTTTATAATGTGGGATAGTAGAAGTCACCAACAGTTAGAAAGGCTTACTCAGGCCTGTAAAGATCATAAAAAGGCCCTGAGGACCACATTAAAATCAAGCCTGTTTTTTGATCATTATTTTTAAGAACAAAAACCCAGACTGATCATCTGGTTAGCTGGTGTTGGGTGTGGGGCCAAATGCATCTGCTTGGTCTGCCATCTTGAATGGGTCACATCTGAGAACCCTCTGTGGTCAATGACTGTATTTCCACATTGGCATTTCCCATGCCTTTAAAAGTAAAGAGAAGGGTGGTATCTAAGAGGAAACAGGCCAGTCAGTGCAGGGGTAAAGCAATGAGCATATCTGAGTATTATTTTGTGAATTTTCTGGCCTAGTTATATTTATGTGTTTATATGTGCTGGGTCACAATATTAAGTATAGTTCTTATTATAGGTCACAGTAAAAGAAGGTTTGAAAACTACTGTTTTTAAAGAGGGTTTAAATATGCTAAGTCCTGATTTATCTGAACTAAGTTAGATCAGTGGAACTTAGAGGTTTTGGTAAGGGCATTTTTAAGGATCAGTATTTTCAAATTTAATGCAGACCCCATTAATTTGTCTACTAAATCCCTTCTGCAGAAGGCCTGTCCGTCCCCCCATTCCCCTACCACTCTTTTCCTCTGCCCTAGACACTCAGTGGGTCCTGGGGACCATTCTGCAGGTGACCCGATCCTCTAGCCCACTGTGGTTTGAGGCAGGGTGGGCCCCTAAGCAGTGGGGTCAGACGCTTTCCTTGGGAACTGAAAATTGGGCCTAGAAAGAAATTCATCATCTTTGGGTGACCCTTGGCAACCATACGATCAGCAGGACAGGGAAGGCCATTCTCCAGAGATGGAGAAAGAGAGGACTAGAGATGGAAAGACCAGCCAGGACCTGGTTTCAGGTAGAGGCAGAGTGAGGGGCCTGGAGGACAGCTGTGTCCAGTAACCGGGGCAGCTGGCCCTGAAGACAACAAATGTCTTTGGGGATTCTAGCACTTTCTCTGTGGCATGTGGGGAGAGAGGGCGTAAACACATTTCCTTGCCCTGTCTACCTTCTGGGTCCACTACCTTGCTGACACTCTGCTGTACCCCTGCCTTGGGTTCTAAGAGAATCCCTGTGTCCTTACAATAAATTCTGCTTTTTCACTTAAACTAGTTCAAGTTGGTTTCTGGCACCTACAGTGGAGGGATTTTAAGTAATACACACTCAGAATTTCCCCCTTTCCACATCTTTACATAATTTTTCTCTCATGGGTCTCAGTCATTAGCAAAACTGCCAAAGACTTAAGAGGTGTGACCCATGCAAACCCTCCATGCTGACATTAAGCACAGAAGTGAAACACAGCTCACACCTTTTCAACTGTTCTTGCCATGGTACTTACTCTGGAATCAAGAAGCAGATGTTTCCAGAATAATATCACCCCATAATCCACGACTTCCATGCCATCCCCACCCCCTTCTCGGTTTAATGGAAAAATATCTTTCCACCTTCACTTCTCCTACCAAGTGCAGAAGCCATGCGAGGCGACCAAATAAAAAGTTTAAGAAAGATATGAATGTGGATGCTGCCCTCTGTGATTTCTATGCTCTGTCACGTCAAGCTGCAGAAAATCTTCAGGAATATGGGAGGGACAACCCGAGGTCGGTGAATTTTCTTCCAGCCTTTTGCAGAGGCCTCATTCTGTGGAATGGATTGCACGGTCTCCCCTTGGTGTTAGAAGGAGAGGGCTTCAAGAATTAGAGGGAAACCAGTCTGAGAGTAGGCTCACGGGATGTGGGCACACTTGCTCTGTGGCTGGTCCCCAGGAAGGACAAGTTCCCAGAGGAGATGGCTGCTGGTATAGCTTCGGAGGTTGATCAAGCATAGGGGACAAATGTTCAAAATATGTAGCCAGTATTCTAGTGAATATTGGCTAAACACCAAATGCCCTGGTGGTGGGCATTTGTTGTTGGGCCCCCAGCATCTATCCCCTTCTAAGAGCACTCTGGTTTTCTTTTTCCACAGTGTGCTGTCTTGCTGGGATTGTCACTCAGGGGCCAGCATAGGCCCCAAGCCAGGCCAGTGGGAATGCTGTCTCCTTGGAATGGAACATCAAGGATGTGGCACTGGAATCTGGAATGGCTCCCTGTCCAGCAGGGCTGGCGCCCTGAAGGGTCCCTGGATTCCTGTATGGCCTTTGTTACTGTTCTTCCTAACCTTGGTCTTACGACTTCTCTCCACATGCTTCTCTCCCAGTCAATTCCTTCCTGCTTAAGTAACCAGAGCTGGCTTCTGCTGCTTGCAACCAAAGGATGATAGCTAATACTCCAAGGTTCTTGTCCTGAACAAGGATTTCTAGGCCCAGAGTAAGGCACTAAAACCCCAGAGAAAGGCTGCACTTTCACTGACCACTGCAGGCGTTGACAATGAGGGAACAGCGGCCCCCAAGACACCCTGGGCATCAGAGGTTCTTATTCTGTTTTCTGAGACCACTTGAACCCCACGATTCTCATACACTTCTGGGAGGGTGGGCAGGGCCAATAATGAGATGGAATTTTCTACCACCCCGTGGAATGGGGACTCAGAGTCAAAATTACATGGATTTTAAGGAAATGATAAAGATGACTATTTCTTTGCATGTCTGAATTTGTGGGCTGAGCTTCGTAGCCGCTGCATAAATTGTACAGGAAGGTGAGCAGGGACGTGATGATGACGTATTTGGATTTCTTGGCCCTGACCCAGACACGGCCAGTTTTGTCCGTATGCTCACAGCACACTCAAGCCAACAAATGACTGCTTTCTGCAAAGAAGTTTGAACTCATGAACATGTCCATTTTTCTCCCTAAAAAATGCCAGTTGCTTCTCTCTGATTTTGTTTGCGAAAATGTCAGTGCCTGACCAATAATCCTACACGTGCTTTATTACAAAAAAATGGGTTTATCCTTAGTCTAACTGGGTTCTCAGCCTGGCCTGCATGTTGGAATCACCCAGGGAACTTAAAAAATATTGAAGAGGGCAGCTTTCACTCTGAGGGGAATCTGACTTAATTGACATCTGCGGTGCAGCTTGAGAATGAAGTTTCTCAAAGCTTCGCAGGAGAATGTAAAGCGTAGCACCGGTTGAGAACCACTGTTGAAGAAACTCAGAATCATAGAAGTCACACGAATTCATCTGAGCCAGCCTCCTGTCTCCAGGTAGATAAATATGTAAGTCATATTAGAATCACTAAGGGAATGTTCAGAACTCCCCTGAAATGTATAATTAGTCTGGGATGGGGCCTGGGCCTTTGTATTTTAAAAAGTATTCCAGGTGATTCTAATATGTAGTTCCGGGTCAGAACCACTCTAACCCACCTGGGAAGGTCCACTGCTCACTGTCCTCTTTGCTGGGGCCTCTCAAAGTGTGGTCCGCAACCCAGCAACATCAGCATCAACGGGGAACTTGCTCGAAATGCAGATTCTCAGGCCCTGCCCCAGGTCTGCTGAACGGAACACTGTGGGTGGGGCTCAGCAGGCTGGGTCTTCACAAGCTCCCAGGTAATTCTGCTGCTTATCTTTGGGAACCACTGCTTTTTACTGTCTCGGGGGTCAGTTTTCCTGGCCTGGTCAGTCAGCAGGCTCTATGGTCAACCTGATTTGTCCCTGCGTTTCCACCAAGTGCTCTTTTCTCTCTTACTGTACTTTGTGACCATTCTCTGCTATGGACTTGCAGAGAACTCTATCCCTCACCCTCCTGCCCTGGCCACAGATGGAGATCACATTCACCAAGTCAAACAGGCAATCCGGACTCACCTCAATCTCATTGTTCCCTGCTGGGGAGGGGTCGCTGCTCCGCTTAGACCGGCCTCGGAGCTTCCCGTCGGAGGAGGCCCGGTGCGGCCTGTCTGCGTCTCCCTCCTTTGCGGGCGTGGAAGGTCCATTGTGTGTGTGATATTCACCTGGTGTAGGAAGCGGAACGGGGCACATGTCAGAAGCTTTGCTGAAAGTCTCCTCCCAGGAAATACCACACAGCAACCAGCTAACTCCGTGCCTCCAGTGAAGATAACAAGGAATAGCAACTGCCATGTCCAGCCCTAAAGTGCCCCTTCCTAGCCACTCATTTGCCCAACACAGATCTACCCAGCAGGCGCTCGTTCTCACAGCACTTACACTCTAGAGAGAGGAGAGAGACACGAGACACACAAGCAGGTGAACACACAATACCCCAGGTGCAGATGTGTGTTACAGAGACTTAATACATTGGATAGGGGAATGGGGGTGCTGGAGGTTCCAAATTCACACGGGTCTGCTGAGGGGAGGCCGTGTGGGTAAGGAGACACCCGAGCAGGGAGTGAAGCTACAGTCACAATGAATAGAATTGTGTGTCTGCAACTCTCTAGCTACCCATAAGCCTGAGAATACCTAGACAGACAGAAGGGAGAAAATAAATGTTTATATGTAGCAGAGCATCAAACTCTGCTATTTTTAAAAAGTCCCACCATGTGGGGTTAATGTGGAAGGTGGAGAGACTTCTTTAGGTGCCTCTTCCTGTGCAGTTTGCTCTAGTTTCCCTTACAATCAAGCCCTTGAAGCTTTACTTATCAAGAGCTTTTTCAGTTTGGGAATTAAATAAGATTACATATACGAAAGCCTCCATACAGGGCTGGCCATTAGGAGATGGCAGTAGGGAATCTGGATCGAGTTCTGGCTCTACTGGACCCACATACACACAAGGATCAGCGAGAAGGTGTAGGGTGGAAGGCAGTCATTGAGGTGGTGCTGGACACTGTGCACCGAGAGGCTGCCATATTCCTGCCCTCAAGCAACTGTCTCATCACCCCGAACAAGTGAGCAGCACCCTCCCGGGACTCAGGTCCCAAAGTTTTTTTTAAGCACAGAAGTTTTAAATACATGGCTTTTTATTAGATTTTATTATCTGTGTTTAACTGATGAGGGAACTGAGGCTTAGTGAGATGATCTAATTATCCTGAGAATTAGTGGTGGGCCAGAGCTAAAACCTGGGCCTGCCCTTGTAGCTGGAGTGACAGAAGTGTAAACCAGGGTGGAGCCTGAGAGGATATCCCGTCCTGCCTACTTGTTTTACAGCTGCTGGTTTTAGCTCCCAAATGTATCCTGTGGACTCCACCTCTCCTCCCATAATTTCCAGGTCTTGGATGATTGGGGGAAAACACTTTTGTCTAAAAATACTTGGCAATGCACTGATTTCCATCCCCCTACCATGGAAGGACTATTGCCCTCCAAAACCCAAAGGACTGAACTTTATTTACTATTTATAAAACTTCTTATCAGGCTAAGGACATAATAAGAAAAGACTTGATTTTGAGTTGTCAGGACTGCTGGGCCACCTCCAACTCCCCATTTTCAGGGTGTGGCAATGGAGATTCCCAAACATCAGTCTAGCAAAGATTATCTTTTGGAGCATGATGAACAGAGTGTCAATAAATTCACAGATGCTTATGAGTCATAAATAAGATTTATCCTGATGCACTTGGTACTTCTAAGTCTGTGGGGGCTTAGAAACAAGTGTTGACCTCAGTAAAATCCAGGTAAATATTATTTAAGAAGGGGGAGAATGCCAACCACCTAAGAAATGTCTAGGGGTGCCAAAAATAAAGCAGCCTTTTCTCCAACCTTATACGTTCTTGAGAATGATGGGTCAAAGTTCAAGGTCACAGCCGAGGTACACAGGCTGGAGAAATTTATGGGTTCATTTTACTCTTCTACTTTCTCTCTTTTTATGTTTTTACTTTTATTTTAACAGCTTTATTGAGGTAAAATTGACATGCATTAAATCATAAATACTTAGAGCTCACAATTTGATAAGTTTTGACGTATGTGTGTGTGTGTGTGTATATATATATATATATATATATCCATGGAACCATCACCCAGTCAAGATAATGAACAAATCCAGAGGTTCCTTGTAGTCCCTTTAGTGATCTCCTCCTCCTGGTCCCCTCCCCAGGAGATGCTTTCTTTGGCTCTAAATTAGTTTACATTTTCTAGAGTTTCCAGAGTTCATTGATTTCCAGGCTCATTTTTATTATTTCCCTTCTTCTGTTTACTTTGGGTGTAATTGCTCTTCCTTTTCTAGTTTCTTAAGGTGTTTGGCTTCAAACCTTCCTACTTTCCTATTAGAGGTATTTAGTGATATAAATTTCCCTGTAAGTACTGTTTTAGTGACCTTCTATATATACATGTTGATATGTTGCCTTTTCATTTTCATTAAGTTCAAAATACTTTAAAATTTCCCTTTGATTTCTTCTTTGATTCATGGTAAAATAGGGTTTTCCAGAGAAACAGAAAATATATATAAATACATATAAGGAGACTTATAGGAACTGGCTCACACAGTTCTAGAGACCAGGAAGTCCTACAATCTGCTGTTTGCAAGTTAGAGAATCAGGAAAGCCGGTGGTGTAATTCAGCTGGGGTCTGAAGGCCTAAAAACCAGGGGAGTGGACGGTATAAAACTCCCAGTCTGAGGCTGGCGGTCTGAGGGCTGGGGAGAGGGAAGCGAGAGGTGGGAGCAGGTCTTGCTGGTATGAGTCCTGGAGCCCAAAGGCACAAGGGGCTCCAATGTCTGAGGTCAGGAAGAGAAGGGTGTCCCGGCTTAAGGAGAGAGAGAAATCACTTCCTCTGCCTTTTTGTTCTATATGTGCCCTCAGGGAATTGGACTGGTGAGGGCCACCTTCCTTACTTCGCCTCCTGATCCAAATGCAAATCTTTTCCAGACACGCTGTCATAGACACACCCAGAAATAATATTTATCAGCTATCTGGGCATCTCTCAGCCTGGTCAAGTTGGCACATTCAATTAACCATCACATGTGGGTTATTTAGAAGTGTGTTATTTAGCTTCTGAATATTTGGGAATTTTCCAGAAGTCTTTCTGTTATTTATTTCTAATTTAAGTCCACTGTCTTCAGAAAACATACTCTGTATGCTTTGAATCCTCTTAAATGTAAGAAACTTGATTTATGGTCCAGAATATGTCTATTTCGGTAGATGTCTTGTGTATACTTGAAAAAAATGTGTATTTTGCTGTTGTTGGGTGGAGTAGCCTATAGATTATCTATTACATCGTCTTTTCCTTGCTCTCTAGCTCCCTCCCAAGAGAATATGACTGTTAACAGTTGCTGTTGCCTCCTTCCAGAAATTTCCTACCCAAATATGGGTATAAAAGTATACTTATATTAAAAAAAAGCCAGTATCATCTTAAACACACAGTTCTGCACCTTGTTTTTTTCACCAATCACAATAGCTCAGAGAAATGTTCATGTTAGCACAGATCCTTATTCTTTTTAACAGATGCATAATGTGTCACCAGTGGATACACCATAGTTTATTTAACCTGACTTCTGTTAATGGGTATTCAGGCGTTTCCAGTCTTTTGCTATGAAGATATTACAATAAATATTCTTTTTACTCAAGTCTTTGTACCTGTGTGTGAGTTTCTCTTTCAGATAAGTTCCTCAAAGTAGAATAACTGGGTTAAACAGCACATGCTCTTTTAATTTTATTAGATATTGCCAAATTGCATGGAAAAGCCTCCTAAGTTTCTTGAGAGATTTTAAAAGTTTCTCCTTCTGTTGACTGAGGGAGATGATCTAAGAAGTTAAGAAGATCCTATAACTTCATTTTAGATCATTTGTGTCATACGTAAATATTCAAAAAGAAAAAAAAGGCTGTAAGCAACCACTACTGATGGGTCTTTTCTCTGAGCAACCCGAGGTTCAGACTGTGCCCTGAGCATTGGCAGACTGCCCTGAAATCATCCGCAAATCGTGGGGGCTTCATAAAACTGTTAATGCATGTCAGACTGGGCTGGAGGCTGGGGGCCGGGGGTAGAGAGGCACATCAGGATAGTGTAGCCAGACAATGTAAAGAGTGAGTATGATCCGTCAGTAATATATAAACCTCTTGAGTTGGGAGTTTGGAACCAAACTACTCAAGGAGATCCTGGATAATTTCAAAAGTGGAGTTTTTATGGGAAATTCTAAGAGCGTGCCCGAGTGTGTACACGTGTGCACACCGAGTCACACATGCATGCTTGCATGCCCTTCTTTTATAACAGACACTGGGGAAAAGACGCAAGAGACCTTGGTTATAGCTGACAATTATTTATGTCATTAGATTTTATGTGAGCTTGTTAGACACACAGTAAAAACCATCTCAACCACTTATTGTTGAACCTTAGACCAAGGGATAAATGAAGAACAGGGGGAAGCAATAAAGGAATATTTCAAAGAGACACAATGAACCTTTGTTTGCTCTCAACAGGGAACAAAGATGGCCTTCCCGCATAGCCCAAATTCTTGGGAAATCTTTGGAATTCAGTTCACCACTGAATTATAGATAGATAGGGGCATCTACTTGAAGATTTCCCACTCATATTTCCTCTCTGTAAAGAGTTTGGAGAGACCAAACTGAAAAGCAGATGGTAAAAGAAAAAGAAAATTCAGGATTATGACAAAGAAAAGTTTGTTGAATTTCATACTCTTCGAAGAAAGCAATTTGGAAGTTGTCATATAGGTACTATGTAATTCATTCAATACTCTGTGATGAGATCACAATAACCAAAACCAATGCTTGAGCCCTAAACTTCCTTAAAAGCTGACCAAAAAGAACTTAGCTATGTTGTCTTCATTTGCGACAAAGCCAGTGGTGACTACTCGGTCCCCAGTGATGGGAAATACAAGGGCTAAAAGCAACAGCTGCTCCAAGAACCTCAGTAAGAAAAGAGGTGAGTCCTCACTATGATTCTTTTTCTGACTATCAACAATGAATATTTATTGAATTTGTGTCCACATACCATCATGCCAGCTTAGCTTCTACAAAGCCCCAGAACATCAGTATGTGTCAGAAAAGAAGAAAACTGAACAAAATACAGTGACAGTGACCTTATATTTGGATGTTCTAATTTTACTGCTGTCACATCACTTAATGTTGATTAGCCTAAACCACCTCATAAAAAAGACATGTGCATAGCAAGCACATTTATGGAATGAATGAATGAATCTCCAGGCTGGTGAGTTAGTTGCTCAGGGATATACATCACCAAGGGGCCAGGACATGGACTCTCTCACTGTTGCATGTAATCTAGGGGGGATCCACAATCTAGGTTGTGGATACCTGATATTTAGAAACCCCTCCAGTGTCTCTGATGTCTTCTTCTGGGTACAGTGCACCGGGTTTCTTTGGGAAACCACGTCTCCCTCACTCTCAGTCCATGTGGCCTGGGTGGGGCTGACCCCAAGCAAGAGCTCGGGGCTGTGGGCATGAGACCCAGGTCTGCTGTCCCATCCCAGCATTATCTCCCACTGGCCACAGAGAATGGTTTGAAGATAGGCAGGTGACCTAAGTGGGGTCAATGGCAGCATTACCCGGCGCCTCTGCAGGATCTGTTAAGAGTGAAGAACTCTCTCCGAGGAGTAGATCAGCAGGCAGGATTGAATCCTGGAGCAGCTGGTGGCCATCTTTGCCACCACAGGGAGAGAGCCCGTTTGAGAGTGAAATGAATCCACGAAAATGCAGAGGTAGAAGGAAGAGAGAGACCGAGTCCCAACATTATCTTCTGAACTCCTGGACTTTTTTTTTGCTTGAACTAGTTTGAATTGCATTTTCTATTTTTGAAGTTAAAAAAGTCCTGACTAACTGCTGTGCCATTGAAAAGGCACACGTGTAAAGATTTTTGAAGGATTCTAGAATTCCTGGTGACTGATTAGAGAGAGAACAATGATTTGAAGGCCTCTGCCCTTCTGTTCCCAAATGGATTTTAGATAATATAGTCTCAGCTGTGGATGGCTAGTGGCTATGGAGCCCTGCAAGCCTGGGTTCAAATCCCAGCTCCACCAATTCCTAGCAAGTTCCTTAACACTCCTCATTGTTCTTATCTGGGGAAGATGGTAACTGCAAACATGTTGTGAGGACTATGTATGACTGTCCTCATGAGGATTATGACTTAGTTTTACATATTTGTGTGACTATTTGATTCCTGTCTGCAAAGAGCAAGTCTATACTGCACTTCATTTTATTTCCCAAAAGAAGGAGTGCCTGTAAAACAGCAGGTGCTTCACAAATGTTGATTCAGTATATAAATTAGTGGTTAGAGAAGACTACACAGGCATGTTCTTGGCACATAGTGGATGAGCAATGAATACAAGTTTCCTTTCCTTAAAGACCAGGGCCCACAAGCTCCAGTGCCTGCATGGGCCAGGCAGCTAGTAAACCGGAGGTAAGCTGGCTAGATGTGGAATGGTGTGTGTGCAAGTGGGGCAGACGTTACTCAGCTCCAGCTAAGTGTTGTCACTTACAAATGTGGACCTACAGAGACCAGATCTCCTTTCAAGAGAAGGCGGAAATTAGAATTTTTAGGAAAAAAATTCTGACTTTTAAACAGGGGTACAATTAAATACACACATACACACACACACAGAGAACAGGTGAACAAATATATCTGAGGTCTGGATTTAGCCCTTGGGTGGCTGGCTCATTACAACTAGGACCTATGTCCAGTCTGTTCTTCATGTAAGAGCTCAGCCCACAGCTACGAACTTCCATGCGACACTGAGTGTACATACCGCCAAGCAGCTCAGAACTCTGGCTAGGGGCATTGTGAGATGCCTCCTGAAGGACGTAGGTGGCCGTGGAGAGGGGTGAAGGGCAGACGCTGCTGGCCGGGACATAGGGAGTGCTGTAGGACGAGCTGTAATACTGGGAGTACTGGCTCTGAGGGAAGCCAGGGTAGGAAGGATAGTCCTAGAAAGGGAAACACACAAGGCTGTGAGTGTGGAGGCTTCTGTCAGCCCAGCACAGGCTGATGGCGGCAAGTGGGCTGCTCTCCTGTGACTAATCTCTCTCCCCATTGGAATAAAAGCCCTATGAGGGCAGGACTTTTCCCCAAAGCAAAGGCTGCAAGTGCAAGCAGAGCAGTTGGGAGGCAAAGAGACACCAGCTGGGGAGTGAGGAAGCGGGACACTGAAGGGAAGAAGGGAAGGAGCCAGTCCATGGGCTTCTAAGTGGGGACTGGAGTGAATTCTCTTAGGGAAACACTGGGATGGAATCAAATGCACATCTCAGAACCCTCTTTCCAGGGGCAAGGGAGCCAGGCTGTTTATACACCAATTCCAGCCAGTCTTTGTTTGAGAGCTGCTCCCAGGGGGTTTTCATTTCCCACTGTAAGATAAATTCTAACCAAAATAAGCAGGCGATGAGAGGCAACAAAGGGCCGGGCAGTTTATTTGAGCGCAATCCTGGACGATGTTCCCTGGTCTGGCTAGTCACAGGCCGGGGAAGTCGCGCTCAGCAGGGCAGGCAGCGAGTTTTTAAAGAAGGTAGGGGGAGGCAGGGCTTAGATTTACAGCAGCGCGTGGACTGGCTAGCCTAAGGCACATTTTTCAGGTTGGGAGGGGGCAGCAGCCGGGGACTTTGGCACATCGTCAGTGTCCGATGTGCTCACCCCTCCCTCCAGTGCCTCCAACCTTACACCCCCTACTTCCTGTCTACCCTATATACCATGGCAGGTTCTAGGGAACACCCTCGGGCCCAGGGATGCAGAGACTGGTGGCTGGAGGTCAGCAGGTGCGCATGAGGGACATGGCGTGGCCCTGACAGCGTCTGTGCTGATCACTGTTGGATCAGTGCCCAGTGCCTGGAACAGTGCTGGGCACAAACAGGCACTCAGTAAATGCTGCAAAAATTGATGAACAAACAAACGAGTAAAAAGGACCACATACACACATACCCAGGAGACTAGATGCCATTTTAGGTTCATAAGGGGTGCCAATACAGCCACACCCCCATTAGAGATCCAGAATCTTCTCTGAGGGAGTCTTGGAGATCCAATCAGAGAATGCCAATCCTCTTACCAAGCTTTGCTTAAACCAACCAGGTATTCCAACTCCCCAACAATAGTCGTCATTTCAAATCTTCTGCCCTATCACCTCCATAAACCGATGCTGCTCAACCCTGCAAGGGACTCAGGGAAAAATTCAGCTTCCTGGGCTCCACCCCAGACCCACAGAATCAGAATTTCTGGGGGCAGCATTTAGGGAGTCTGGGTTTTTGACAAGCTCCTATGGAGAAGTGGACAAACACCCAGAGTGAAGAACCCACCTTAAAATGTACTGTTTTATTTACAAAGTATTTTATCTATGTATGTCCTATACTGGAAGTAATACAATAATGTCTGAAACAATTTTCACATACTTTAAGGTTTATATCATTTAGATTCTTTAGCTCACTGAGGAAGAAACAGCGTGATCCTCATATTTAAATATGTTACATAGTCCATAAAGCTGATCTACTCTGGGGTGGTTTTAACACTAGCCTGAAATATGGTACCTTTTGTTTTGCAATAATTTTAGACTTATAGGAAAGGTGCACAAAGAGTACACAGAGGTCCCATATACCTGCAGTGGGTTAATTTTTGATTCACTCTCTGAGTGAAATCGAGAGAGTCAAACCATTAGCCAGCATTATTTATCTTTACAGGGTTGACTTAGTTCAACTTAACAAGCATTTACAAAGCCCCTACTGTGTGGGGGGCACTTGACACTGGGCTGCAGAGTTGAAGATGATGTCATCTGATTTAATAGCCACTGAGTATCTTGGGCTCAGGTCAAGATGTAATGTATAATAACATGTAGGTCCTCTTGGAAATCTAATAATTCCAATTTCTCTGCCTCTACACCGTATCTTTCCAATGGCCTTTTGCACAATCTGGCTTCTATGGTCTCCAAACCCAGAGAGGAAGAGACTGGATTTCTGGAGTGGGCTCTTGGAGTGCCCTGATTAAGGGGGATTATTTAAGCAAAGAATGGAGAAACAGCTGGTGGGGAGCCTTGTCTACCTGGTGCACACTTGCAAATCCGGCTGCGTTGGGCAGTCCGTTTGCTCCTTGATAGATCCCCGCCGAACCTGCAGGAGGGAGGAATGGGTACAGATGAGTTCTTACAGCCAGAGAGGGATGGGGAAGAAGGATGCAGCAGACAGGGGCGGACTTTGAAGGCTGACAGGCTGGAATGGAACCTGGCACCCGGGCAAGTTACCAGATTTCTCTGAACCTCAGTTTTCTCAATTAAATAACAAACTAAATAACCCCTTCGTCAAAGGACTGTGGAAAGAAATAAATGAGACAGTGCATACAATGCAGAATCTGGTCTTTGATAATTAGGTTTTAAAAAAATTATTTATTTTATTTTAATTTTAATTGACATTTATTTTAAATGACATAAAATTTACCATTTTAACCATTTTTTAAAACGGACAGTGTTGTGGCATTAAGCATATTCACATAGTTGTACCACTGCCACCACCATCCATGTCCAGAGATTTTTCCGTCTTACGAAACTGGAACCCTGTTTCTGTGAGACAGTAACTCCCCATTCTCCTCTCCCCTCAACTCCTGGCAACCACCAACTACTTTCTGTCTCTACGAATCTGAGTATTCTAGGGGCCTAGATAAATAGAATCACATAGCATTTGTACTTTTTTGACCGGCTTATTTCATTTAGCATAATGTCTTCAAGGTTCATCCTTATGGCATGTGTCAGAATTTCCTTCCTTTTTAAGGCTAAACAACATTCCATTGTATGGCTAGAACACATTTTGTTTATCTGTTCATCCATCGATGGACCCTTGGGCTGCTCCCACCACTGGGCTGTCATAACTAACGCTATGAACATGGGAGTACAAATGTTTCTTTCAGACCCTACTTTCAATTCCTTTAGATATACATCCAGAAGCAGAACTGTCAGATTGCATGATAATTCCATTTTTAATTTTGGGGAGAGCTGCCATCCTGTTTTCCATAGCAGTTGCACCATTTTACACTCCCACCATCTCAGTGGACAAGGGTTCCAAGTTCTCCACATCCTCACCAACACTTATTTTTTATTTTTGTGGGTTTTTTTTTTTGACAGTAGCCACCTTCAGTGGTGTGAAATGGTACATGAATAAACTGAATGGTAAACTGAATGAATGAATGAATGAATGAATGAAATGACCTTATCTCTCTGAGCTTCAGTTGCCCCATCTAAGATGGGATAAATGACACTATTACTATTACTAGTAGAAGATGCTATTTAGTGAATGAATGAGTAAACGAATGAACAAGTGGGGTGTCATATAAGATAGGGTGGTCAGGGAGGGCCTCCCTGAGATGATGTCTGAGCTGAGACATGAACGGTAGGGAGAAGCCAGTGATGGAAACTTCCCAGGGGAAAAGTGTTCATTCACAAATACTGAGTTTGTAGACCGTAACATAGAGAGCAGCATGGCAGGTTAGAGGAAGAGAAAAATGCCAGTAGGGCAGGAGCCCAGGGAGGGAAGGGTTGGCTAGAGCAACAATGGTGAGCTGGTGCATATCAGGTGCCATTCTGAGCTCTTGGTGGGGAGAGTGAGGCACAGGAAAGCTAAGCAGTGTGCCTGAGCCACACAGATAGAGTGAGTAACAGCTGCTGGGGCTGCAAGCAGCTTGAGTCTCC